ACGTTTTTCGACGTCATTTTTTTGTTTGTTTTTTAATGAAGTTCCTTTGTCTTTAGAAATAGATATCTTTTAAACGAAGCGATTTATAACATTACCTTTTGTGATGTAGCATATGAAGTAATAATTAAATTTCATTTCATTTAAGCACCATTTATAAAAGACATTATAAACTATATAATTAGTAAATAACTCGATTTTTACCATGCTCCATGGCCCCATTTTTGCTGTCTAAAACATGTGATAATTTAAATAAATATAAAGATAAATTCAAATCTTTTTGACTCAAATTACATGAATCTGTTGTTAAAATACATGTACCAAATTTGATTAAAATATAAAGTTAATTAAAAAAAGTTATGACAAAAATCAACTAATTTTTTTTAAGGACCCTTGTATCTAAAAGTTAATCCTCTTTGAGAAATTGCTTCATTTAAAAAATCTTAAATGAAATGTACATGTAATATAAATAGAAAACAGCTCTATTCTGTATTGTAGGTTACAATTTATTTTAAGTTTTTGTGTAACTGCCTTTAATTCTAAACAAAAATAATTGCCTTTTAGTTAAATGACAGATTAAAGGAATTTTTATTTGAATAATTTAAGCAAGGTATTATGAAAATTTGAAAAGAATTAAAGTAGGATAAGGTCCATCTTTCAAGAAATCTGCTTAAGTGTGCTCATCTCATGTGAAAGACTTTTTGAATGAAGATAATGTTTTTATAATACACACTTGTTGACGACTTTGTTACAATTCCCTGATTTGGAAAGTAAGCCTCTATATTCCCGGTTCTTCTGCCGTAGCTGATCTACTTCATGCTGTAGCTTTTTTCTGCTTTGTTAGAAGTGTTTGAACATTTTCTAGTATTTTATCATTCATATCAGTTACTTCTACAGTCATCTTTATGAGCTCTATAATTAAATTGAAAACGTGTAAACAAAAGGACTGACATGAAGAAAGGTATCCAAATTATCGCTATTACTGTAAAACATGACATTACATTTTTAGGGCGCAATAAAGCTACATGTAAAACCATACCTTCTTATTTTTATTTATTTCACATTAGGTAAAGTTAGCATATTAAGATACAAAATGATAAAACAATAGAACACGTTGAATGTTTTGTAAGAGAGAGAATAAAATCTTTTTATAGAATTTTTGGTCAAATCCATTCCTAGATTGGATTTTTTTAAAAGTTATGAAATTGTATTTTGTCAAGAAAATTAACTTTTATTATATATTGTAAAACTGATGTCCAGTTTTAACAATTTAAGTCAATTAAGAAAATCTATTTTAGTATTTTATTTTATAAAAAAAATAACTAAATTCGGTATTAATTTTAAGAAGCAGAAAATTAAAATAGACATATTCATAAGCCGCTATTCCGCCAAAAATATGGTTCCTTAAATTTCAATCTCTGACTATCTCAAAGTTCTACAATAATGAAAAGGAATAAAAATATTATTACTTGAATTGCTAAATAAATACGATATATAAATACGATATATAAGCAAATACACCTAAACTATTTCATTAAGTCAGAAACCAGACAAGAATCTCTTCTTTAAATCAGCATAAGAATGTCCTTTATTTCAATAGTTTCCTTTCCTTTAAGTACATGCATAAAGATATACTTGTTTAATGTTTATAAATTAAATATTTTGTGAAAGATGCACATTGAACAACTCATAGATTTACATTAAATTTTACTATCATTTTGTTTGATTTCAATCAATTTCATCTGCCGTTTAGCTTACATATGAACCCATTTCTTTCATCACAGTTACGGTCATTCCATTCTCCGTTAGAATATATTTCCAAACAATTTTCATTATTGTTATAATTATCAGGCTGTCCTTTTGCCCATTTGATATCTGTTACTACTTCTGCATCGGACATTCGGACAAACTTCGTTTCCTCAAATATATCAGAGACACCAATCCAGATTTTATGTAGCCCTGTGGAAATATGAAACCTTGAAAGTGATTCTTAAGAAATAAGAAGATTGTAGAAGAAAAAAGGCACAACGGATTTAAATCATGGCAAGTTTTTGTTCCTGGGTAGTACTGAAAACTTGAAATACTCTGTAAATAAATGATTATTTCAAAGGAATGGACCTGTATAATGCTTTTAAATCGAAATGTATTCCAAGGTTATTTAGAAACCTATAAATTTCAAAAGAAAAATAACAAAAATAAAAATCTTAAAAAATAAGCATCGTGTAAATTTTCACATTCCTGCAATTTTATTCTTTCCTTTTTTTCATTTTATATTTGCTATGTTTTTTTAACATTTTTTTTCTCATGCTTCTGGAAATGAATATATCAAATATCTGCGAGAAAAATATTTTTTAAACACGCAAAAGGCATATGAATTGCTTTGGTAAAATATCTTGTGTATACTTAATTTAAAAAAAAAATAATTTAAATAAAAAGATACCATTTATACACAACATCACCAGGTTAACAATGACCCCTGTTCATGATTCCTACTTATTTCTATGATAACGTCGATTACAAATTGTATTCCGAATTACACTCGAAATTACATGATTTGATTAAATTAGAACCAACACTAACTATGAATCCTCCTTTATAAATATGACTGATCATTACCTTCTTGTTAATAATAAGAAAATTTAAAGGTCTCTTTCCAAGGTATACAATGTAAAACTTTGATCACCTTTTGTGGCACCATACCCCCCCCCCCCAAAAAAAAAACAAAAAAAAAAAAACCGGGCTAATGATCTACACAAGTTGAATCTATTATACTACCTGAGAATTCTTTTGTAGTTCTTAAGAGTTTTTGTTGGCTTTGCTGTTTTTGAGAAAATGAGTTTTCCTATGTACTAAAATTTCAAAGAATTTACTTTTCACTGTATAATCTATATAGCCCTATCCTAGCACTGGAACCCCTGACCCTGGGGTCATGAGATAAACAATTTTGGAAGAAGCACCCATATTTAACTGAACTATGTACTTGGTTAGGTTATTTAATGCCCAGGAGCAGAAAAAAAGAAATTCAAAGAAATAAATCATTTTCATATCTTATCTACCCCGGTAATTAGCCCGCCCTAGAACCTCTGACCCTGGGGCCATGAATTTCACAATTGTGTTAGAAGACTTATTGCTGATTACAATCATACCAACAGTTTGAATACCTGATGTCCAGGAGTAAAGAAGAAGATTTTTAAAGATTGCACTAATTTTAGTGGTTTTGGTCCCACCACCAGGCCCCAGAGTGGCAGTGACAATGAAATTCACAATTTTGTTCCCCTTCATCCATAGATGCTATTTGCTAATTCTAACATACCCCGTAAGCGAAACTGTATAAGGATCCATTTCTCTTCGTGTGGACTTTGATCTTCAAGGAGAGATGAACCAGAAGCAGCATTGGTACAAAATGTCTTTCAAATAGAAAATTTCAATGGAAATATGATTAAAAATTACAAAAATAAACTTTATAGAAAAGGGCATTTTTATTGAATTTTATTTTCAAAGATAGATATTTTTTTAATCACATCAACAAGTTTAAACAGGCTTATGTCGTTTTTTTTCTGATCCTCTACCGTCTGTTTTCCGTCTGTTTGACAAAAAATAACTTTTTTTCACTTAGTACTCTAAGTTGAATGCTACCGGTGTTTGTTAAAGAGGGGACGTACATTGTACTACACAACATCGAAAAGTTATTGCGCAAAAATACCAAAATTCTAATGTTTTCAATTTCTTTTTAGAAAATATCGTATTCTGACACATTTTTTTTTAAAAATCGATATGCCTTATTTACGAGCTTATTATTTTTTTTTTATAAAAGAAGCTGTCAATAATGTCAATAAGTGTATACTAAACTTATCTGAGGAAATAACTATAAAAACAATTATTAGTTCGGCTGCACGGCGCACCAGTATTTTTCCTCACCTACAGAACATTTTGATCAGAATGTCTTGATTTCGAAACCTATAGGTAGCAACTGTATTTACACCATACGCCCGGAACTTGGAGAACCTTGAGAATTTGGGGTTCCTTCCAATAAGAACTTAAAAACCTATGACCCATGTCACGACAGGTGTTGGCACGATAAAAATCCCTCACTGCATGGCCAAAGAACCTGAGTGCCAAGTAAACATATAAAAGCCCTTCACTGGTAGATGGAGATGTCACTATATGAGTGATATATTTTTGAATGGGACAGTAAACAACATACAATCAATTAGCCAGTCAGTCTAGAGACTTAAAGGACAGAGACTCTTTAAAGCTTATTAGTTGAAGGAATCTGTTTCGAAATATTTAGAAACAGAAGATAGGGTTAGTTATAATGAGATACTTACTGCAGCATCATGAAAGTTCATTTTTGTTGAGGAAAAGAAATAACAGTTACCATTGAAGGAAACCCAGCCTTTTTCACACACTGAAAAGGAAACTTATCTTATAAAGTATCCATGTTATAACATTTTTCAGCAATGTTTTCAAAGTTAATTTAACCGTTTGAAATGATCATTTCATGATAAGAAAGTTCATATTGTTTCTCCGATGTGTTTCTTTGGATGTTTGTTAAAAAAATGAAAAAGTTTAATATTTTTGTTTTATTCTCAGTACTGTTGTTTTAACTTGTTTACAAAAAAACACAAAAAATGCCTTCTTCACGTGATCTTCATATACGAAATACATGAATGCAACGTTACAATCTTGCAAATGGAAGTGTGGTGGACTTAATTTACGCTCATGTGCTATACACTACAGTTAATGTGTCCAATGGACATAATAGCACGTGTTTGTATATAAAATACATTCTTTATTGCAATTGTATACGGTTTTAGTAATTTTCTAATTATATCTGACAAATGTAATTCTTGTTATCAACAACATATTTAAGACGAATAATTAATAAATAAAAAATAAATAAATAAATATTTTAATAGATAAATAAATAAATATTTTTATAAGTCATTGAAGTTTGTGAAAATATCTGCGATCCGATATAGATTGTACTTTTATTGTTAAAAACCTATTTGAATGTATGCATGGTGAATTTGTGCTGTTCTTGTACATTTCAAATAAGAAACAATAATTCGTTTTCAAGATTTAAAGGTACTTAGACACAGATTTAAAGCTATTGTTTTCCCCATAATACTACGACTAATATCTTTTAATAGCTTTTTACACAAAAAGTTAATTAACAATTTTATTTCATATGAAAGACAACAAAATTTAAGATTTTTAGGCGGGTTTGATTGACATATCCTTGCTCTTTCACAAATTAATTTTATTCTTAATCCTTAGGAAAAGTGACAATCTCGTTGTTTATCAATGAAAAATATTAATACTGTACTCCAGAAAATTCAGAGTAGATATGTTCGAAAGCTAAACAAACACAATTTATTGTCAGTCCGTGCAGTTGTGGTAAACAGACTGTGACGATTGAACGCACCCAGTGAATTGTAAACATCAACATTAACAGAACTCAGGCCCTGTTTACAAAAACTGTGTACATAACACGAGTGTGCTCGATTTGCAAAACTCTGTACGCAACTCTTAGTTCGGGATGACGATAATTGCGCAGGTAGGTTAAGGTTACAACCAAATATTCTACTTGCCTATATGATATGACGTCATAGTAAACTATATGACGTGAAGTTTAGAGATAACAATTTCTTATAATCGATGTCTAAGATTGATTTGAGGTCGTAAAAATTAATCAAAATATGCAGAGGCATAATACAAACAGAATTTTGTCGTTTCTGGGTCTCTGTAGTTATCACAGCGGTTAAATACCAAACCCGTGACGTCATAACTGTTGATCATGCAGTAGCAGAGTGAAAGTGAAACGTAACGAGAATTCATGTAAACAAACACAAGAAATCGGAGTTTAAAAGCATTTAGAATGAATATTATGTGTGATTCATGTGGGAATAAAGCTTATGAATAAGGTATGGTAATATACTTGAACAATTTCTTCGTGAAATTAAAGCAGGGAGGGTGTTTACTTGCCGATCAGCCTTTCCTCTGTCGTTCGTAACAAATAAGATGCAAAAGTTCAACACTACGCCGCACACTTTGAAACTTAATTTTTGTTTCTATCTAAAGTTCTTATTCTAGTGTTTTTGGAAAGTGCTGCTAGAATCGTATGGTTTACGGGAATTAATGCATTTTTTTCAATGTTATGAACAAAATGTAAAAATTTTGGGAAGGTTTCATCAGAAAGTGTTGAATAATTATTTCTGTGATAGGACAGTAGGATTCTAGCAGCACTTTTCATGGTACAGAGATGTTTTTACATAATTATTATTACAAATTGAAATTAATTATCCCCGGGGTAGTGTTGAACTTTTCACTTTTTCATTAAGGCATATTTTCTAATTATAGACGTCACGTGGTGACGTCGTGGTGAAGTGCTTCATGTAGTATAAGTCTATAGAATGCATAATTATAACAAAAGTTTTATGCTTGACTTTTCCGATTTATTAGCGTTACATAATTATAAAAAAAGTCTTAATTCGCCGAATTCTGGTCCATGTGCTGCCTTAACATACCCGCGTGTGAAGGAGTTTTGCTTTCTAACATTTCTACTCTGAATAAAATTATTTTTCTGGATAAAAGTTTTAATATTTCTCATTTATACACAACATGATTGCCACTTTTCATATGGATTAAGAACAGTTGTGAAAGTGCAAGAATGTGTCATTCAAATCCGCCAAAAAATTTGAAGTTTAAATATCTTTGAAATGAAATAAGATTTTGAATTAATTTTTGAGTGAAATGCTATTAAAATATGTAAGTCGTAATATTGTAAAGAAAATATTGACTTCAAATCTGTGTCCAAGTACCTTTTAAAAACACGATTTATATTTGTAGTGATTGTGTGTAAATGCTTACTATGATCCTATGATGGTATGTGATTGCACTAGAACAGTTAATTTTCCAAAACCCTTATGTAGCCCTTAAATGCACTTGCAGATGAATATACGACAGAATCTGTTGATCGGGAAGTGCAAGAAAAATATATGTCGAAGGACATCATTCACCTTAAAAAGAAAAACATGAAATGGTGTATTTACCTGTTGCGTTCTTGGATCCTTTCAGCTCTTGGATAGCTGCAGCATTTTGACGAATGTTTTCTATTGCTTCATTGAATGATACCGAAAGATTCTGAATTTCTTTTTCAATCAACAACTGTTGATTGTTAAAATTAGTGATCCTTCTTTCATAAAATTCGCTTTTATTTTTAAAAGCATGTATTTCTTTTGATATTTCATCATATTTCTGATATAGATCAAACGTTTCATTCTTAAGACTCTCCAATTCTTTGTTCTTCAAAACATACAACTGTTCTTTAACATCTTCATTTTCGAAGGACAGCACTCTAATTTCCTTTTGAAGAACTGTGATGTTTCCCCTCAAAAGCACAGATTCTGAATAATTATAGCTCTGAGAATTTGAATCTTCGATGATTATCTTACCACCACGATATTCAACATCCAATTTCGCCTTTAACTTTGCAATTTCTTCCTTCATTTTATCGTCGTTTATTTTCAAAGCCCCTAATTCCTTAACAACATGTCCAAGTCTAATTTCAAGAGTCTTGCTAAGGTTTTTACTCTCAATAGCATCCATAACCAAAGTCTGGATTTTCTGCACCATAGAGAATCGAACCAAACTCTCCTGATTTAAAATGTCCCTCAAAACATTGAACTGTTTACTGGATGTTGTACTTGGAAACAATGCCGATTTATCCAGTGTGTCATCTTCGGAAGAAAAGCCTTGCCCAAATATTTTGTAAATAGAGAAAAATAACTGTATCACTAATATAAACCGCATTCTCAACAGATGGTTTCAATCCAGTAATAATGAAATGAGGTTCTGTTTCTGAAGATGAAAATTTATATATGTACTCAATATGGTTTCCGTTTTTTAAATAATATCTGACTCATCTAAATGGTTTGGTGGATATTTATTCTGAGAGTTTTTAGAATTCTGAACATAATTCTGTTTTTGTAAATACTTTTGATTAGACTTAGACTGACACAAAATATTTTTTAACCTCATAAAAAGATAAAATAAATTCAGTTATCTTTGTAAAAAAATATGTTTATTTGGCTGTTACTTCTGCTATGAAAAAAACACTATGATATATATTGCATTTCTCTTATCTAATATATGAAATGAAAGAGATGTCTCTGAAAGTTGTAGCTCAATGTACATATTTACACAGTGCCCTTGAAAGATTGTTATTCATGCTGATGTAATGCACTCTACGTGAAGTAAAAAAAATTTTTTAGAATTAAATTATCACATTTCAAAAATACTTCATAAAAGTGCATTTAAAAAGCTTAGTCAGAAAAGCAGCATCTATATAAAATCTGACACTAATGTAAAGGATTGCATTTTGCTGTTTTCCAAACAGCTTTGTAAGACAAGAGTAAAAAAAAACAAGGTTTAGCTGTGAGGTTTGACGTATTTGGAATAAAACACTAAACAAATACATGCAGTGTTTTTGTCGTGTGGGTGGCAAAATAATTTAATTTATCACTTATTTTCACTCACAAATTCCTCATTTTGATATTTTTTCTATACAGAGTCTTCCTTGAGTTGTATTTGCATATTTATTTAAATTTTGAAATGCACATAAAACCTATGTGTGAGAAATTTAAAAGATTCTGGATAAACTGAAAATAATGCGTCCAATCGACGTCGGAATATTCTTGCCGTGGGGTGATATTGAAATCCTGACGTTCTGTTCATCGAAATATACATGTATTTCTAAAAAGTATCTTATATAAATAATGATTTTTAAGTTAAAACTCGAGCGAGAGACATTTATACCTTTCTATCATCCCTCATATAATCTTAATCCTAAGTAGTCTGCCTAGATCAAAAAACTGAACAATTTGAGAATACTGCCCTGCTATTTTAATTGATTATTTCTTTTAGAACTATAAAAATAAAATTAAAAAACCCAAAGATATTTGAGCTTTTCATTTGATAGTATATATGCAGATGTATATATGCACATGCATGCCTTTGGAGGGGTT